TTGTATACCTGGATTATTGAGCATGGACTTTGTTGTACCTCATTATTCTTTCACTTCATTTTTTTCTTTAAGTGTTGATCTAAGAATGTCAACAAAATTAACACAAAGACAACAGGTCTATCGCATATAGGACTGTTTTAGTGCTGCAGCTGCAAAGGAGAACCTCAAAGTGTGACGCGTACTCGTATCATTTACAAAATGTAAAAGAAACATTTGTTACGAGGCATCATAACCGATTTATCAATATTATTGTGTCGTGTTTGCAGCAAAGTGATAAAATGTTAAGTCCAGTCCAGATGTTTCATCGCATGAACACACTCTGCTCACAGGTCGCATCATATTTGTGGATCGTTTATGGAACAATTCCAGTTTTGGTTTGTTGTGAGTGCAGGAAAGACACAATCTAAAAATAATTCAGTTTTACAAATAAACAGAGGAAGATTTAAATAGTTTGGGGTTTTGAACAGAAGAAACCATTTAGGATTTTTACCACAGTATTCTTAGATAAGAGTCGGAGTGCTTGGGTGAGTGTGTGCATGTCTGCATTGTGTGTGTGTGTGTGTGAGATCAGAGCTTGAAGGTGATGTCCTACCTCGGTGCAGGAGAAAGGGTTTGGTGTAATCCCAGCTGCTGGTGTCATTGCGAACGACGTTCAGTCTGTTGGGCTGCAGGGGGCGACAGAGCACAGCACCTCTGGGTGGGTGTGTGTGCGTGGGCATGAGCATGAGGATGCATTTGTGTGCGTGCACCTCAGTGTGTGTTTGTTAAAGATGTGTATGTGTGTGTGAGAGTGTAAGTGTTTTTACCCGAGCATATTCGATCTTAAGCGTGCAGCAGCCGGAGTAAATGTCAGCTCCATTCAGAGCCAGCTTGGCCTTCTGCGCGCCTTCCACCGACTCAAACGTTAACGAGCTCGTTAAGGATGACTCACCAAGATCAGTCAGCCAATCAGAGGAGAGAAACAAGGCCCACACACACCTCAGTGGAGCCTACTGTCAGCTTTAATAGTTCTAAACAAGCAGTTTTCCTT